AAATTTAAAAAGACTTGAAACAAACCATTTGTTATGTATTACAATTTCAATATTCAAACTTAATTTTTTTTTTTACATTCATTCAACAAAACGTGCTTGATTATCGTTTTCCTGTAGAGAGAAAAAAAATAACACAAAATATTTTCATTTCTTTTACGCACTGCCGTTGTTATAGTACTCTTAATTAATAATGCCATCGAGATAAAAATTTTCAACTATAAAATTCCACGTATATGAAAAAAATATGTAAATTTCTACGAAATTTTGAAACAATAAAAATAATTTACGTCAGATTTATTCCTTGTAAATATTAAAGAACCAACAGTTGCCAGTTTAAAGTGGAATTTCTGGTCTCTTGTCGAGATATCGTTATTAAAGCATTTATGAAAAACTGAAGCATCGTCTGATGTGAAAACATCATTTCATTCGACGAGTTTTCAAATTATTTCGAAATGAAATATGATTTTAAGAATTTTTCTCTATCTCTTCCTCTTTGATTTGAGATATTTTAATCCTTTTAATATTAAATAGGTCATATTTTATCGACATTAACGTCGAACGTGAAAATACAAGTGGCGCTTGGATTTTGCACTGCAATACGCGATTTTTCATGTTATCATTAAAAAAAATTTCTTTTTATAAATTTTTATAAAAGTTTTAACAAAAAAAAAAATAAAAATGTTCTTTGATGTATTATTTTTTAATTTTTCATAATTCCAAAAAAACTATACTCCTCGTTTTTTGTTTAAATTTGTTTAAATTTTCATTTATTAAAATCTTTTTTTTATTTTTTTCATTTTAATCAACAAAAATTAGCATTGCAGTCAAAAATAATTTTACATAAACTTAAAAAGTTTAGAAAGCAATAAATATGTTAATAAATGAATATTTCAGAACAAAAGTATCAGGTTATGTGACAAATTTAAAAAAAAAATACACACACAATAAGTTAAACTGAACTTTAAAAATTTATTTAAGAATTTATCATAAACAAATAAAAAATCACTTTCAAAAAATAAATCCAATTGATTCCATAAATTTTTTTTTTGGAAATTTTAACCCTTCCCCCCCTCGAACCCTCGTAAGAAAAGCGCCATCTTTCTATTGACTGTAAGAAATAGCTCAACACCCCCCTCCACCCCTTCAAAATCTTACGTAATTTGAGGACGACCCCTAAGTAATAATATTTTTGTTTCTCTTCAAACAATTTAAAAAATTGGTTTAACTTAATTTTTTTTAATTAAAAAATATTTTTTTTAAATTTGCTTATAAAAGCTGTAAAAAATGTATAAAAATATAAATAGCTATAAAATTGAAAAAAGCCTTTATTTAACAAAAAAAAATCTTATTGCGACAATCAATTTTACGGAAAAATTTACGTAGATAACGTGCGTGATTTATTCCTTTATAAACGGCAATTTATTGATAATATATTATAAACAATTATCCTGTAATCATGGACTGAGGAAAAAAATGGACATTGTTTGTAAATTTTTTTTTCTTTTTTTTATTAACTAATTGCCCATCAGAAATATTTTTTATACACATTCTTATTTTAGTAATTTTAACCATAAAACCGAAAACAATTTAGAAAAAAAATTTGTTTGTTTTATAAAATATATCCTATAAAAAATAGTTTTTTTAAAAAAATTTTTAACCCCCACGAATCTGTTTTTCCTATATGAAATAATTCATTTCAATTAATTAATTTTAATTGAACTTAATTTTTCTATGAAACAATTTTTTCGAATATTTGAAAAATTTTTTTATTTTTAACTAAATTGTTTAAATAATTTATAAATTTAAAATTAACTATTTTAATAATTATTAAAAATTATTAATAATTATTTTGAAGTTATTAAATTAATGATATTAAATAAAATTAATTATTAATAAAATAATATTATGACCTCGGGAAAATGTACAAAAAAATAAATTTTATTAATAATTTACTACCTAAATGTTTAATAATTTAAATAATAATTTATTAATTTACTATATTTCGTTAGTAAAAAATAATAATTTTAGTAATTGGGGGTTGTCGACTTATTTAAAGTAAAAAACGTAAAAAGGTAGCAATTTGAGTGACCCTTATTATTATTATTATTATTATTTTTCTTTTTAAATAAATAGTTAATAATAATAAAAGACATATTAGCTTCAAAAATCACTCTTAGAATAAGTTATTTTTAAATTTAGTTTATTTTATTAAAAACTATTTAAAAATGTTTGTCTTTAATTTAAAAAAAAAAAATTATTTTCAAAACTGTTACATAACAATTTTTTACTTCTACTAAAGTGTATGAATATAAAACTCATTTGTAATGAAAAGATTTTTTTTAAATAACAAATTGGAACTATTTACACATTCCTGGAAATATTTTTCATTTATAATTTACTCGACAAGTTTTAATGAAACCATTTTTTTAGAATATAATTTTATAAATCATTCTAGTATAGGAATTTTTTTCAAGACATATTTATTTTTCTTTTTCATTAATTTTTTTATTTACTTTTTAATTAATTTAGTTTTTACTTATTCTGATTGTTTCTCTACTAAATTTAATTTATAAAATTATTATTATTTAAATAAAAATAAAACATTAATAGAATTATTATTATTATTATTATTTTGATTTTTTTTATTATTTATTTAAATATTTATTTAAAATTTATGTTAATAAATAATATTATAATTATTTTATTTTTCCTACTCCTGTCATTGTTTCTCAGAAGTAAAAATGATTAACAATTTTTTTTTGGAGAAAATAAATTATCCCTATTATTTTAGAAATTTCAATTTTGAGCTGAGGGGAAATTAAATGCAAAATTAGTGACATCTGGAGAGCATTTGATCCGGAAATAAAGTTCCAATCCGGTCAATCAAATGGAAATCGATTAATATTGTCGTCGAGCTTTAAAAGCTCTCGAGATATGGGAAAACAATTAACTTCTTGTGTTATCGAAATTAAATTAGAAAATTAAATTTGTTATATAACGAATCTTATTGAGTTTAAATATTCAAAATCTAGCTAATAATATTTTATTCCCTATTCACAAATTTAATAATTTTCAATTCTTTCTACGATTTTCAATAAAATTTTTAAAAATAATTACATTTTCCAAGAAATTCGATTAAAATTGTTTTAAAAATAATTGCGAAGAAATTTATAAATAATTGAATTCCTGTGAAATTTTTATTATTTTATGAAAATAATTAAATTCTGCGTAGAATTTCATTAAAATTTTACGGACTTGAAGCAAATTTACGGACCTTTACGTAATTTACGGACTGTACTTCTATATATTCTTTCTACATTTGTTAATTATCAAAAATTCTTTAAATAACAGTAACATTAAATTTCTATTAAAGTCTGTTCAGTCATCTGCTTTCCTTTAGATATCTGTTCTTGAGGAATCTGTTTGATAAAAAAAAAAGATCTATGTTTTGTGAAAGTTGTTCACATACGATCCAAAGTATAGATTATTATCTCAGCTTTCAATAATAAAACATGACAAGCGTTGGTCATGTGCCTTATCAATTAAACATTGTTCAAACGAACACCCACATTTATTGTTAGAAAAACACAAAAAATTAAAAACAAAAAATCAAGTCCGAATATTCCAAGAAACTTTGCAATATTTTGCAATCTTACATCTCAAATTCAACAATCCTTCCATCCACCCTTAATCCTAATAATCGAAATATCAAAAAAAAAAAATTTGAGGATACAAAATACTGTCCTTTAAGTGAATATCAGATAAGTGGAAATATTCACAAGGTATTTATGATAAGAAACAATTCCAAGACGCATGAATGAAATGATTAAGATAATCATGAGAGTGTTCCAGATTTGTCAAGTGGCTGCGATCAATTTTTAATTAAAACACATACTAACAATTTTCATCCCAATTTTTTAATTAAATTGTATCTCTTTAGTTCATAGTCTTATAGAATTGTGCGGTGAATTAAACATTATTTCAAATTGAATATTATTAATATTTTATCTACAAAATTTAAATTAACCATATATATGTATTTAAGGAAGTAATATTCTTGATGAGTCATGAATTTTTAATAAAACTCAACTAACAAAATATGATGCAATATTTAATTGATAATAATTTAAAAATTTATCATTAAACTTCTTTATAATATAACATTACAGTTTGACCCATTATATTTTAATCTCACATTGCTTTGTTGAATGTTTCAAATTTGTAATTCAAGAACTAATGAGAACATTATTATCAAATTTATCAAAGTGCAATTTGGTGTAAAAATATAAAGTTAAATTTCTTTTAATATACCAAATATAAAAATTCTCGTTAAGTTTTTTTTTAATTTTTAAATATTTTCAGTCCGCCATTTTGAATTTTGCAAATGAACATGTTTCAAAATTCACTTCTGAGAATTGAAACTAATTGACTATGTAATTGAAAAGATATGAGTTTAAATTTAAAATCAAACTTAACGATTGAAAAGAAACAGTTTATTACTGAAATAAAATTTACTCATCGAAAAAGTAAATATTTTATTTCTTTGAAATTGTATTTATATCAACAATCAATAATAATAGTAAATGTTTAGAATCATTAGAGTCAAACTATCACAATAGTTAACGCTTATCACCTTTCGATATTTTGTTTCTTTTATACCTAATTTCCTCTATAGAAAATTATACATTAAAGTTAGTATTTAGAATGACTTCCTTTTTAAAATAACTTTGGAATATACGTATATTATCCAGTTTTCTAGAAAAAAATAGCCTTGAGAACAAGAAAATACGAATAACGTTTTCAAATGATTGAAAAATCATTAAATTAATGCAATGATTGCGGCAAATTAAAATTTAATCCACAAGATAATTTTATTCAACGATTTACATACTTTAAACCACATGTACAAAAAAAAGGTATAAATATAATATTACTAGCCTAACATAATGACCATTCATATAAAGTTAGAAAAAAAAATAATTATTTACAATTTCACTTACCTTATCAAATAATTGCCACCCTGCGGGCAGGAACTCGGTTATTGGCGGAATGATGGAAGTTTTCGGTGACTGGATCACAAAAATCAGTCAAATTAAATATTGGGTTGACTGATTCTTTTTTTTGCACAAGTTGAATATACACAAATCTCTCGAAAATATTATACAAAAATGACTAGATAGAAACATTCGAAATGCTCGCTAAACGATGTCAATTTCACGTTTTCATTGAGGACCAGCCACTTTTGAAAACATTATTTGACAATCGTAGCGCAATAGAACTTAAATATGAATGTTCCCCAAAAATATTCACACCACGATATTAATCGGGCTCCAAAAAATTTTTACCACCACCAAGGGAGCATATGCTCTTCCCAAAAGGGATTTCATTGCTAAAGATTTTATTAGAAAATTCTAAGCCAATAGGAAGAATGGTTCATTTAAATGTAGCCAATGAAATAACTCGAATTTCTTATGATAAGCACCAATCAACGATGAGAAATCTTAACTCTAGAGTTGGGTATGTATACGAATTTGATACGAATATAAAAACAGGGGTCAATCTGGACAAGTAACCAAACATACGTAACTTATGTATTCTTACGTCTTTACATTCTTCAAATATTATAATATTTAAAATTTTTAATAATAATGATATTGTTGTCTGATTTTTAAATTTTAAATTTTTCCCGATTGATTATTTATGAAATACTTAAAGTGATACATAACATTATTATTATTATTAGATATACATAAGTTTAACATTAAATAATAATATATACGTACCTGCACATTATATTTTTAAAAATTTGCTTAAATAACAATTATAATAATAATAGGTAATAATAACAGGTAATAATAATAATAATAATAATAATAATAATAAAAACAATAATATAACAACAATGGTCGACCATATACCATGTGGATAATTTTTTTATCAATTTTTGACTCCCCCTCCCCTTAACTGTCCACGCGGACATTTTTTTGCTAAAAACATAATATTTTTGGAAGGATATATGAAAACTTACAATTCTATAAAGAAAATTAATTAATTAATTAATTAATTATTAAACAAGAAATATTTAAGGAAAAATTAAGGGATAACAAAGAAATATTAAAAATGACTCAAAAATTGAAATTTTTTAAAAAAACAATTTATTTTCCATCAACAGAGAAAAGATTTTTAAATTATCAAAAATGATGTTAGAAAAAACTAGCACAGCATAGCTTATCGTTGAATCATCTGAAACATAATAAATCGAGATTTCCAAATAAATATACCCCATAAATATTATTTAAATATTAATATATAAATATTATTATAAATATTAAATATTATTTTAACATTTCTTTTATTATTAGAATCTGATAAATAGCTTTGTTGCAATTCTTTGCATAATACGTATTTTAATCAAGTTTTGCAAATATATTGCAACAAAGCTATTTATCAGATTCTAATAATAAAAGAAATGTTGAAATATTATTAAAAATTAAACATTAAAATAAAATTTTTATTTAACTGAATTTTGAAATAGCCGAATGCTTATTTAACCGAAATTTTATTAATTCTAATTTTTATTTAACTGAATTTTTAATTAGCTGAATGTTTATTTAACCGAAATTTTATTTAATCTAATTTTCATTTAACTGATTTTTTAATTAGCCGAATGTTTATTTAACCGAAATTTTATTTAATCTAATTTTTATTTAACTGAATATTTAATTATCCGAATGTTTATTTAACCGAAATCTTATTTATTCTAATTTTGAACCAGCGGGATTTTTATTTAACACAATTTTTGAAAATTAGGTAAAATATCGGGAAGAAAGTACTTCAGTTTTTTCAAAATCGCAAAATAAGTAAATAAATAATAATAAATAAGTAAATTTTTCTCTCACATGGCCTTAAAAAATCGGGTAAACTATACGACTGTAGCGCTCTGGCTGTTGGCCATTTTAAGAAACAGACCTCGCGTCAGTGGTTCAATTCCCCCCACCACACTAGTTTCCAAAGTGTCTAAATCAATTGTACCTCTATGTAGAAATACACATTCTTGGTTTAAGCAGACTAACAAATAATTATAGATGGGGTGGGGGTAAAGCGAAAAAGAACATCCTGCCGCCGATGTTTTGCCCTATTGTTAGGTGATGTCGAGAAAAATTATGTTTTTTACGTGATTTTTTTGTGGAAATGTATGCGAGCAAGTACAAGAATTGTGTATATTTTTACTAATAATGCTCATTTTGTTAATCGAGATGGAACATCCGAGTCGTGAAAAATATAGTTTACGGTAATATCTGCTGAACGCATTTAGTAAACTTATAGGGGAACTCTTTGTCATGGATATGCAGGCTCCCAATGGTTCGTACATACATTATTTTTATTTTTCCTTTTCGTCATTCATCATTTAAAAATTCTTTCTATATTTATCAATGGTTTCATAATTCCAAAAAAATAATTATATTTGGTAAATAGTTGCTTATTTATAAGTAGTAGTAGTTAGGAGAGAAGAAGGGATAAAAAAAAAGGTTAAATAAACTCAGTACCTTAGATGCCTGGCGTCGGTTTCATGTGCATAACTCAATCATGGCAATGTCGATTACTCTTGAATTTTTAATTTTATTTCACTTTTTTATTGAATTCTAATTTGTTAGGAATTTTACCATTTTAATGAAAATCGATTACTGACATGGTCTGACATTTACTGAAATTCACTTATAGAATGACAAAACATTTCTGCTAATGATATTTGTTATTTAATAAATGCAGATTTTTATTGTATTTGTATTATTTTTTTTTTACTGTATTAAACAGAAGTATTAGAAAGTACTTTTTTAAATTTAGTTTGCTTTAAGAATTTGGTCATATTGCAAAAATACTTATTGCCTTTAAAAACATTTGAAAGGTATGTTCGGATTCTGTAAACATTTCTAAAACAAACCGAATTGATAATTTTAGATTCGGGTAGAAAGTAGGATAAATAAATCTTAAATTCTTAGTTTCATATTTCCAGTCTTGATTCAATGAAACATTGTATATTTTTAACAACAGTTTATGCGGCCACCATCCCTGGTATACCAGAATTAGGGATGGTGTGGATGGGAGACATGATGGTACATGGGGAACCGACACACGAATTAATGTTGGATCCTCGTCATGCAGAAAGTCCTTTCTTTCAACACGGTTCCCATTCGTTCGAAGATCTTAGAAATCATCATCATCATCAGATGCAACCAACGACGATGGTTCGTTATTTACCGCAACAATATCATGGCGAGTGTTCTGAACCTGATGAGGCGATGGAAGCTGTTGACGTTCAGGAAATGCATCACGTAAGTTACATAAGCATAATTATCAATAATGATGAAACACTGATTTTACAATTCATGGTTCATCATTAAATTTTATTTAGTTAAGACTTTCTCCAACAACATTTTATTAATAACTAACTCTCTCCTAAGTGTTACCCTCTATTTCAGGAATATGATCCACAAACGGAAAGTAATGAAATGACTGAGTACTTGACTTTGGAAGATTACATGACAGAGGAGGATCGTGAACAGGTTGTAAATAATGCAGCGACACAGACGCAGGACAATCGGAATCGTAAGATCAAACCCATAAAGCATCCTGGTCTTGTTCTTAAAACACCAATAGCCTATCAGCCTCATACTGATCTCAACTTTATACCAATTCGCAAGGACGGAATTGGTAAGATTTTTCTCTTTTTGAAATTTTGAATTAACAATAATGATTAGAAGTGTTTGTAACCATTTGGTTTCTTTTAGCCGTTTGCGAGAAATGTGGTGCCATTGGAGTAAAACATGCCTTTTACACTAAGGAACGTCGATTTTGTAGTCGAGCTTGTGCACGATCTTCAGAACACACAGCCCCCGCTGCAGATTCTACATACAGTCCGTCGCATCTTATTGAAAGTCAAATAATCGTCACTCCACCATCGCCTGAAGCAACAAAATCAGAAGAAGAAGTAGTGAGTTTTCTTTTACTTTTTTGTACAGTAAAGATACATAATATTTAGAATATGGTATACAATAGTTGCTGCTATTTTCAGATGATATCTAAACAAGTTGAAGTAGAAAGAAGGGAACCGGAGAAAAAGGATAAGGATGTAATAAAATCCGAACCAGTGATGCCAGAAGATTTGCCTGTCCGGAGAAAAAGAACTGCAGAAATGGAAGGCTCTTACGATTGGACACCACAATTAATAGAACACGGATTTTGTGCCGCCCCTGTTTCTTGCTTTAAACACGTATGTATTCCAAAAATTTATTTACAATAAATCCTTTACAAGTGTCGAAAAACAAAAATAGCAAATTCTAGCAAACTATTACCAATGACTTTAACAAAAGTAATTAAACTTTGAGCCATACTTTGAAACTATGGTCAACAACTAATACACTATTGCTCATGGCCATGTACCTAAAACCTTTTATATTTTGACCAATTCAAAAATCTAGCAAACTTTGGCCAAAGGCAAAAATAGTTTGGGACCAAAGAATCTAGGTATAGTCAAAATATAAAAATTTTAAGGTTTTAAACTATTTTTTCGTTTTTCATGGTTTTTTTAAATTGTGACCATATTCAAAATATAGAAATTTTCAGATTTAAACTAGTTTTTCATTGGCAATGGTTAGCTAGTTTTTAACCAAAGTCAAAATATACTATTTACTACTTTTTTTTACTTATTTTGATACTTATATTATTAGTTACACTAAAAGCTGCTTTTATCTATGTTTGAGAATTTACACTATCATTAAATTTAACAGTTGGAACAAAAAAATTATTTAAAAAAATTTTAATAAAGTAATTGGAAAAAATTCAAAAAATTTTAATAAAATTCTTTAAAATGATTCAATTATTTTCACAAATTTTTCGTAATTCACATGATTTTTAATATCTACTATTTTAATGAAAAAATTTCACAAAAGAATTGAATAATTTAAAAAAAATGTTTATAAAATTCTTCGCAAACATTGAATTATTTATATGAAAAAAAAAATTTTCACAGGAATTCAATTATTTAAAACAGAATTTTTCTAATATTTTTCGAAAAAATCAATTATTTAAATAGATTTAATATAAAATATTCATAATATTTATTATGTTTCTAAAAACTTAGTTATTTAAAACGATGTTTATAAAATTCTTATGAAGAATTCAATTCTTTTTAAAAATAACAAACTTTTTCACAATCAATTCTTTTTAAACATTTTTGATAACATTTTTCGCAATAATTCAATTATATTTATAAATAATAAAATTCTTTTCAGGAATTCAATTATTATTTAAAGTTATAATAAAATTAGTAACTATTCAATTATTTTCATAAATAATAAAATCATCGCAGTATTTCAATTAGTTTTAATACAATTTTACAGGAATTGCTCGAAAATTGTAATTATCTATGCTTAAAAATTTAATTTCAATTACTCGACAAAATCAATTATTTAAAAAAATGTTTTTTTAAAATTATTTGGAAGAATTCAATTATTTACAAAAATATTAGAATTTTTGACAGGAATTCAATTATTTTCAAATATTTCAATAAAATTATTCGAAAGAAATAATTTATTTTTAAATACATTACATTTCTTGAATGAATTTAAATATTATCAAAAATTTTAATGCAATTCTTCGTAAAAATTCATTTATTTTAAAAAATGTTGTTAGAGTTCTTTATAAGAATTCAAATTTAAGAAATATTTAATTATTCAGATAAATTATTTATTGTTTAAATAATTTCATTCTCGTAGAACTTTCTAATAAGAATTGATTTAGAATTTAATAAAATAGAATGATTAAAGTTTTGAATAATTTTATTTATAAATTTCAACAAAATAATGATTGAAATTTGAAAGAATTACTTTTGTCATTTTTAGAAATAGTTAAATTTCAAAAATGCGTTACATTGAAATCATCTGATAAATTTTTTTTTCATGAATTTCTAGATTTTAGCCATAGTTGAAAATTTGTAAACTTTGTATACTAAAAGTATTTTTGTCTTTGGCCATGGTTTGCTAGATTTTAGCAGTGATACACATTATTTTGTAGTATGGGAAACGGTTATATGCTATAGCGTTTTAGTTGTTGACCAATGTTTCAAAATATGGCTCATAGTTTGTTTACTTTGACTAAAGTTTTTGGCTAAAAATTTAGACTTAAAGATTAAAAATTGTTGTAAAAATAACACGAGGAATAAATTTTAGGCGCCAATATCAGAAATATGGGACGACATAACAGTGGGAATGAAAGTAGAGGTTGAGAATACAGATTGTGATGAGGTTTGTGAAGCTTTTCCCGATTCCTTCTGGGTTGCAACGGTTCTTCGTATTTCCGGATACAGAGCACTCTTAAGATATGAAGGTTTCGGTCACAATGCTGAAAAGGATTTTTGGGTTTCGCTCTGTTCGAATGATATTCACCCTGTCGGTTGGTGTGCCACAATCGGCAAACCTCTGATTCCTCCAAACAGTGAGTAAATTTACTTAAAATCAAATTTTGTCTAAATTCTACTGCATTATCTAAAAATGATGTAAAATAATTTCTAGAGAAATATTTATATAAATTTCTATATTTTTTTTTTAGCAATAGCCAATAAGTACAAGGACTGGAAGGACTTTCTCAAGAGAAGATTAACAGGAGCCCGAACTCTACCCACTGATTTCTATAATAAAGTGAATGACAGTATGAAATCACGTTTCCGTTGCGGACTCCAGTTGGAAGTCGTAGATAAGAATCGAATATCACAAGTGAAAGTCGCAACAATACAGAAAATAGTCGGTAAACGATTGCACGTGCGATATTACGATTCACCACCTGAGGACGATGGATTTTGGTGTCATGAGGATTCGCCTTTGATACATCCAGTTGGATGGTCGAGAAAAATTGGTCAAACATTGGACGCGTATTCGGACTATTTGGATCGAATGTCAAAGAAGCAAAATTCCGAGGATGACGCTACAGAGGATATATTCTTTGTGCCAAAGAACCATATGATACCTGGATATAAATTTCAAGAGGGAATGAAACTTGAAGCTATAGATCCACTTAATCTTTCGGCAATTTGCGCTGCAACTATAATGCGAGTATTGAGGAAGGATTTTATTATGATTCGCATTGATAGTTATGATGAGGATGCAAGTGGTGCCGATTGGTTTTGTTATCATTCTTCATCACCGTGCATATTTCCAATTGGATTTTGTGCTCAACATGGTTTGCCACTAACTCCGCCCAAGGGTTATGATCCTACGACTTTTACTTGGGATTCGTATTTGACTGAAACTAATACTGTACCTGCACCGATGCATCTATTTAATCACGTTAGTACTTATTTGTAAATATTAATATTTATTTTTTGTATATTATATTTAAATTTTAAAATCAATTTTAGGATGTACCGCAACATGGATTTATCGAGGGCATGAGACTCGAGGCTGCTGATTTAATGGATCCTAGATTAGTTTGTGTAGCTACAATTACTAGAGTCATCGGGAGGCTACTGAGGGTGCACTTTGATGGATGGGAGGATGAATACGATCAATGGCTGGATTGCCAAAGTCCTGATATTTATCCCGTTGGATGGTGTGATCTTGTCGATCATAAATTAGAAGGGCCACGGGTTCTCAATAAAACCACTAGTCCTACCGGTAAGTATTCAAAACATTTCTTAATTTTTAAGTTCCGCTTCATTCTTAATTAGCGAATCTTGAAGAATATTTTATCTTGTGAATAATTTAATACTTTACATTGCTCCCTTGATTAGTGAAATCACCAAGAGGCCTTAAACGTAAATCTAAGCGAAAAATGAAGCGAAGTGGAAAATTACATTGCGGAAGGCAATTCCTTCCAAGACACAGTGAACGTATTAATCCAACGCGTGAAAGAGATCGAGAGAGGAAACAGGAATTAGAATTAGAACCAGCTCAGGGTATTAAAATAGAAAGAGATCACGAGTTGGAGAGTCTACCTGAGCAGGCGAGTAGAGAGCCTGAGCCAGCTGAAGAGCCAGCTGGTCCAGATCAAACTCTTCCCAGTCCTTCGAGTTGTCAAGGTCGAGCCTTAAGTGAGACCCAGAGTAATCTACAAATCGTCCCACCTTCAAGGGATCGAAATGCAACTTTGTGTGTAAATGTAAGTAACTTAATTTTCCATTTATTTATTCATTCATAAAATTATAAATACAGGTTATCAAAAATCTAGGCTTCGCACTTATCTAAAACTCATACTAAAACCTACTATTTACTACTACTTTTTTTCTCTTGGAAATTCAATTATTTTAAAAAATTTTAATTAAATCGTTCGCAAGAATTCAATTATTTTCATAAATAATAAAAAATGCTTTTTAGGAATTAAATTATTTTCAAAAAATTTTTATAAAATACCACAGACATTCAATTATTGTCAAAAATATTAATTGAATTCTTTCATGTAAAATTTAATTATCTTTAACAACTTTTCTCAATTCAATGATTTTCAATATCTACTATTTTCATAAAATTTCCTACTTTTTTTGGTTTGAAAGATACTTTTTGCTACTTTTTTAAAATTAATTATCGAGTGCGAGGTCCAGGATACCACATTTCATGAAGCCTAAATTATAGAGTTGAAGATTACATCAAAAATTCGACTGTAAATCAATATTGTCAATGCTGACAATCTCCAAAACGTGACTGGTTTATACTACACCTATCGTAATTATTTACATTATCGGAATTCGTAAACAATTGACAGTTTGATAAATGATAACAAATTGACCTAAACTGGAAATTAGTAATTCGCTATCAGAAACGATTTTTAATGAATTATTCCTCTTTTGCAGACTTCGTCAGTGAGCGAGAAATACATTCCAAGGCTAGCGGATTGTCTACAAAAGTCTTCCGACGCCAAGGGATTAGTACCATCCGAATGGAATATAATCGACGTGGCTCAATTCCTTCGTGTCAATGACTGTGCAACATATTGTGACAACTTTAGTAAACGCAAAGTAGATGGGAAGACACTTTTAAATTTGACGAAGGACCAAATTATAGATTTAACCGGTTTTAAAGTTGGACCTTCTCTTAAAATTTACGATCTAATACAACAATTGAAAATCAAAGTGAATCCAGCTCAGGAAAGGTTAAAGTTAGGACTAAAAAAATTATTTTAACAGAGCTAGTGTGTGGCTTTTGTAATTTTTAAGTGCCAGCCTTATTCAACATGGATTTACAAAAAAGAAACAGAAACTAAGGGGAAATGAACTTTTTTCTGTATGTAAAAAAATGATTCGTTTATTTTAATTCTCTTCAATTTGTCCGCTAAAATCTTTTCTTTGATTTAATTTATTGAAAATTTAATTTAACATTTTTAAAATGTTCCTTTTAATTAATAATTTGTATCATTTTACAAAATATCCTTTTATCGGTCTAGATTTTTGTTTTCTTTTTGATGGAAATTAGAGGTGTATTTTTAATTTAAAATCATTGTGTAAATCCATGATTTAATAAAATACTGAATAAAGTAAAAACACAGTAGCCAATTATTTAAATTTCACTTCTGAAAATTAGAAATGGATAAAGAAAAAAAATTGCCGTTGGAAAATTCATGAGAACATTTAAAAATTTATCATTTGGAACTAATTCTAGTAACGGTTGGACCTGCTCTTAATTATGGAAATTATTATTCTGTGATTACTGAACTTTGTAAATAATTCAATTTTTGTAAATACGAGTGAAATCCAATTATAGTCAATTCGGACATAAATTTAAATTTTTTTCTTTTTAATTTGGCTATTGTATTTTTATTACATCATTCAAAGTTTGCATGAAAATCTGCCATTCCCACTGCTATCATTTTCTTTTTCTTCACAATTTTTCCTTTCTATTCATATATATATATAAAAAAAATACCAAAATTTTCATTAATTTTCATAAATTTTGTAAAAAATACACAATTTCGAGGAAACTTAAAATTCAAAAAATGATCATTTATATTCTAATGAAGTAATCTCTAAAAATTTAGAATAAATGTATAGAATGTATTCTAAAAGAATTCAACACTTGCTTTCTTTTTTTTTTTGGTTGGGAAATAGTGTGATATTGATGTGAGAAATTATTTACGAATTTAATTACTCTTAAATAAATGAAAAAAGTACTAATAAATAAATTACGGAATATTTGTTTTGTCCCGTAACACACCGACTGTTAAAGAAAAATAATAATAATAAAAATTCACCATATAAAAATTATCAGACATTTGCACTCGATGTATATAATTATAGATTATTATAATATGCTGCGTGAGTGGTGTATTTTTTCTCGTTTGGTGTGTGACGCGTTAAAGCACCAAAGTTTTTGAGATCGCTGAAATGCAAATATTTACATATTTAGTCAATCAATTAAGATTTCTAATGATTTTTCTCGATTAATAAGTATATTTCTTTGATTCGATGAGAAATTCTAGGACCACAGGATTCATTAATTTCATATTTAATAATAAATAAAAAAAACAATGAGATTTTGAATTATTTTTTAGAAACGAATTTTGAAATTATTTTTTAGAAACAATTTAGAATTATTTTTTTAGAAACACAATTTAGAATTAGTTTTTATAAACAATTTATGAATATTTTTTTAAAAACAATTTAGAATATTTTTAAAAATGTTAATATTTTTTCTAAATAACGTTACATTTAATATCAATTACTAAATATAAATAAAAATAGGTAAACAAAAAAAAAAATAAATACAAAAAATTACTAAATACAAAAAAAAAATCTTTTTTACGATCATTTATAGAAAAATAAATTAATTGGATTCTGTTTTTCTAGAATCAACTGTATTTTCTCTTTAGTAATGTATTACTCTTTAGTTGCTCAATGTTTCAACATTGATTTGGATGCAATCTCAATGTAATATAATAATTATCTTCGATTTTCGAAAATCGTGATCGTAAGACAAATCGCGTTTTATCGATCTCGTTGATGGGAGTGTACGAGTGAAATATTTTTTAACAATTCATCAGTATATTATTTTATTTGTAAGATTTTTCTTCGATGTATGCATAGATATGTATAAATAATAAAAAGTATAGATATATACACATAAATATATATATTTACATATTTATATATTTATATGTATATATTAAAATTTTATACTTTAACCGATGAGAGAGAAGAAAAAAAATAAATAAATGTGTTTTACACTTATGCTGTAAACAAAAGTTGGAAATCTAGTGTTTCTTCTTTCAATTCATTTAAAATTTGTATTTTTTGATTTCTTTTTATTATTTTAAATTATAAATATGTGGCGCGATCCTAAAGACAATGGTACCTAAGAAGTAACCGAATTATAGGTTATGTTTGTGTTAGACTTAACTCGATTAAATGTTTCTCTTTAATTATTTAAATTTGAAACTAATTTCTATGGAATATTTTGAATGTAACGAAGAATTAAACATCAATAATTTTTCATAGTAATTGATTCTCTTTGAGTATTTTTACTCCAAAAATTAAAAACATAACCTCAAATTTTTTTCCATCTTATGTATCTTTCTAGGAAGTGCGACACAGCATAAATATTTTATCCTTTTCCCTAAAGTATTCTTTAATTAATAAAAAATAATAATAATTCGTTTTTAATTCAAATTTGGGTCAATCATACTCGAGGTAAAGAGTAGTATGTAAAATAAATTTTCAACAATTTTTATATTTTAGTAAAAAAAACAATTATTATTTGTGTAGCAAAAGCGAGGAAAACAAAATTTTCACGTAAGTATAAAAAATAATTATTCTACTTGTGAAATATTGGGTATAACAGGACTGGAAACAATAAACAAAAGAACTGTTATAATTAATAATTAATTATAAATTATTCCTAATAATTAAATAATATTCATTACTTCTTAAATATTTCATATTTTTAATATATATTAGTATTATTAATTATAACTTTAAAAAAACTAATAATATTAGAACTAATTATTAATTAACAACATAATTACAATATTAATTAATATATTGATAATAAAAATAATATAGTAATAAATAATAATAACAAACTCAATGTCATGATGATGATGATGATGATGATGATGATAATACTAAATAATAATACCAAATTTAAATAGTTGATAAAATTTTACTTTCTTCCAAAATGTTTGCATAATTATCTTACAGACAAGAAGAGAGTAAAGTAAGACATTGATGTTTTGAGTACCTTAAAAATATTATAAGTTTTTATTATTTTTCTACATTAGTCAGGGCTCGAATAAAGTCCGTACATTTGCTTTAAGTCCGTAAAAGTCAATATTTTTGAAAAAAAAGGTCCGTAAAGTACGTAATTTGATTTAAAAAGGACTAAAAATTCATAAATTGTATGATATATAATTTGGAGAATTTTAGAGAAATTACAAATGATTGTAGAAATTCAATTATTTTTCAAAGTAATTGAAGAATTGACGAATAATTGAAATTCGTTAAATAGAATATTGTAAACAAATGGATTTGAAAATTGCCAGAGAACTTTTTCGAAAATTAATTGATTTAAGGAAGAATTTTAGTTAAAAAATGTATCATATAAAAATATTTAAACGTACCACACCGAAACTTTCCATAGAAATAACATACAATTTTCCAGCCGTTATTTGACAAGGAATAAGTACTCTCATAAGAATTATTTTTATCAGAGGTCTTGATTTTAATGGAAATGAATACCATGGACTAAAGTAACTATACATAAAAAGAAGTAATTAAATTTTTAATCATTTAGAATTCATATTATTAATCTGGGAGCTTATTGTGAAACTTGCATAAATTATTATTAATTTTCGATACTCACACAGCATTCTGCATGCTAAGACTGTGATCAATTAATTTTTGACATGGTAAACTATGCATGTATACATGTAATATTTGACCGAGCCCACACGGAAGCCATCTCATTGCTTGATCCGGATTTTCCATATTCAAGACAATCTGAGAGGGAAAAATTTCAAAGTTTATATTAATGATTGTGTTGTGTTGATTAAATTGTCTCTCAAATCAATAAATTAATTTATTAAATATTTCTACATAAAAATTAAAACGAAAAGTAAGAATATAAATCATTTATGCTATTTCCCTTTTTTAAAATATTTTTTTATCGTCGAAAATAAATTTCTCTATTACCTGTACACCCGTGACACTTATTACAATCATATTGAATCCCATTTGAAAAAGAAAAGATTTTGAAAATGCAGATTGAATTTGATCTGCAAAACTTGGACAAAAGAGAATAGTAAGTCAATCAATTCATAATTTTTCAGACAGCACGCAACCTTGCTGCAAGATTTCGTACTATCTGAGTTATTAACCACATAGCGAAATATTAGAATAAAATTAGTTAATATTAATTATTAAAAAAATTAATATTTAATTTTGAAATCTGTGAGTCACAACTTTCAAGAAAATTTTCCAGACTTTTAATTTTATCGCCCGCCATATTGGATCCGCCATGTTGAATTTGGAAAATATTGCGCTATCTGGTCAATAAAAAAATTCTCAATTATTCCAAAATTTATCTCTTTGCATAATTTTACATTTTTACATCAAAGTATAAAATTTAAAATGCAAAATTTTGGAACAATTCTCAAATATAATTTTCGAAAATACCAACTGCAAAATGTCAATATGACTTTTAACACATTTTATTATTTCCCTATGAACGTCATCATCTGAATTATCACGCCACTCCACAGAATTTTGAATACCTTTTGCTGTTATATTTTTCAGTCGATGCCTATTAGAGACTTTAAAAATTAAATTATACATAGAAAAATAATGAGAGCATATATGCAATATGAAATTGTTAATTAATTATTATTAATATAATAATAATTGTGATGTAAAATAAAATTTTTGTTACCCTATAATTTCAAACATTCCACAGCAATGTGACACGTACGTTATAAACATTGTGTCTACCGATAGCAATATTGTTATAAAATAAAATGTACTAATATAAGAATGAACCAACAAATATATATGATACTTTTTCACATTTATAATATTCTCGACTGGAAATAGCAAAGGATAGGTTTCATTTTGTCCAGGTATTACATTTTCTCCAATTGACTGAAGCGTTGGAATAAGAACGAAAATAAACAAAGCACCATACATGATTCCTGGTGAATAAAAATTTTTGTTTCTATCTATTGTTATAAATAAATAAAAATTTTATATTTAAATTTACTATTTTCCTTTTTTTCTAAATGTCACACGACTTTGTTTTTTGAAACTGAAAGAATTTAAGTTATTATAGAAATCTTTAAGAACTTACTTAAATAAATTATGGTCATATTTTGACTATCTGATGCATAATCTCTTAAAATTTGAATATCCGATAAGTCGTACAAAGACGTCCAATGATTTTGCATTCTTATTAAAAGTTCTTTCATCTAAATATAAGAACACGGAGGGACTATCAAACATTACCTATGAAGACAAATTTTCCTATACTAAATGAGACGCGCTCTGAAGAAAGGTACCTAGAAAGCAAAAATTTTGATTTTCAGAATGAAAATATACACTACTGAATGTAAACCACTCTCTTAAGTCTTCATTACATCTAAAATAATTAATAAAAACTGATGTTAGTTTTAAATTATACAACAAAAACTTTCCAAAGACAAACATAATTAAGTAAAAATAAAAAATAAGACAAACATAAACTTAAAATTCGTTTGCTTCTTAGGTATCTTTCCTGGGGGCGTGTCACATCTAAAAATAAAAAATGCCAAATGAAAAACGACCAAAAAAAAAACAATAGAAAAAATCAATAAAAAAAAAATAATGCCTACCTTTTTTGATTAAGTAAATAAATAATTATGGCTATAAATAAACATGCCTACCTTTTTCTTGTTTATTATACAATTACTTATTTTTGCTGTACAAACTGTGGCTATTATAAGAGGCAAAATACTTTCAACAACCATATCCATATCTGGCCAATAATTTATCATAGAAGTAATCTGCACAAAATTAGTAAACAAAAAAGAAAAGAAACTATTTTTTGTTAAAAAAAGGAAAATTAAAAAAAATTATTTTTTCCTTAAAACATTTAAAAAAATTAAAAAAGATTTTTTTAAATTTATTATCTGAATAAATTGAAAAACGACCTGTAAATAAAGTTGAGATAATAAAAATGTCATCATAATGAAAAATATAATACGAGCTCTCTTGATTGATTGAAATGGCCATTGTCCAATGATAGATAAAAGAATTTTATTCAGTCGATAGTAGGAAATTTCTGAAAGTTCTACCATTGCAATAGTTAAAATAAAAACTTATTATCATCCTCAAGTTTTATCATTTTAACGCGTATTCTCTATAGACCTTTACCTTACGTATACTCAACATTAATATTGCACACCTGGATATGACTTCTATATTATTAAGAAAAAAAATCAATCCTTGATTTTTTTCACAAGAAAGAAAAAAAATTGCTCAAGACTTCTTTTTATTGTCTCATTATTTATTAATAATACTCAAATACTACTTTGTATTCAAGCACAAGAAATTTTTCTAAATAGCCTATTCTTTTTTCTTCTTTAAAATGATAATTCTATATTATTAGACAAAAAAAAATGTTCCTGTCAATATCCGTCAATTTAAAAATTTATGAATAACTTTGTAGAGAGGGAAAAAAATGTGCATGCATTGCAGTTTTATTATTATTAACACACTCAAATCGTAGGTACTTTAGATGTGATGAAAAAAAATTATTTCTCTTTTAAGATGGTATGTAAAATTTTTTAGAATTATAATTACTTTATAATATTTGCAGTAATTTAAGTAACTAGTGCGATAGCGCAAAATTAAAATGTTTTTTAAAAATAAAATTAGAAATTAAAATTTCAAACGAGAAATTTGATTGTTTATAACATCCCATGTAGAAATTGCAGTAGGATTCTCATAAGGTCTTGTAAAATTTCCCCTTTACCTATCTAAGTCTAGTAAGGAAAAATGTAGGGAACTGGTTAGGCCTCTGGATTTTCTGTGACGCTCGGATCTTGTCAGAAATATCTTATAAGGAAATGTAGCACGTACCCTACGAGAACCTCACCAGAAACCTAATTTTTTTCTGTTTAATAATTTAAGGTTATTTAATTTTAAGTAATATTATTTATTTATTATTGGAAATTATATTATTATTTTTAAAAAATCTGCGTAGTTATTAAATATATTACAATAATAATAATAATTACATATAACAATATTATTACAATGAAAAGTTAAATTAATTAAAAAATTAAAATTTTTACAATGATTACAATATTGTTAAAATATTAATTATTACAATAATTACAATGAATAAGGAAAGATGATCCAGAAGATTGATTCGTGATTCCATTTCTTCATTAAATTTAATATTACATTTTTTTTTATTGTCTGATAGCTTTCTTGTAGACCTGTGCTACTATTAAAAATTGAAATAAAAATCTTTATTCTTCAGAATTAAGTAAGGCTCAGACCCTACTAGAACTCGGGTGATTTTTAGATGATTAGAATTCTTAAATTTGGACTATACTATAATTATTCTATAAAGGAGTACTACACTGATTGTATAAATCATTTTTCCATTTTTCTTCGTGTAGTAATAAATAATAATAACAATTTCAATGTCATTATAATAGGTAATAATAATAATAAAAATAATGTAATTTTGGGCTTTAGGGAAAAGTAAGGCAAGCGATTAAATAAGAAAAATAGATTTATTTCAGACAAGCGATATAAATCGTGAATAGTACAACAACTGACTGAATTAATGTTGAAATTGACCAGAAGGGGTCGTATTAAAAAAATAAACAGAACGACATCTAGTGTTTAAAGAACTTTCTTTCAAAATGTTTGCATAAGTATTTTGTTGAAATTGACCAGAAGGGGTCGTATTAAAAAAATAAACAGAACGACATCTAGTGTTTAAAGAACTTTCTTTCAAAATGTTTGCATAATTATTTTACGGACAAGAAGAGAGTAAAGTAAGACATTGATGTTTTGAGTACCTTAAAAATATTATAAATTTTTATTATTTTTCTACATTAGTCAGGGCTCAGAAATAATAATATTTTTACAGGCATTTAATTATTTTCGTACATATAATAACATTCTTTTTAGGAATTCAATTATTTTATAAATAATAAAAATCATTGCAGAATTTCAATTATTTTTATTAAAATTTTAATCGAAATCCTCGAAAAATGTAATTATTCTTAAAAATTTTATTAAAACACGTCAAAACAATTCAGTTACTTAAAAATTTCTTGATAAAATTCTTTATTAGAATTGAATTTTAAGAAACATTGAATTAATTCAACAAATCATTTATTTTTGTATTTAAATAATTGAATTCTAGTAGAATTTTATAATAAAAATTTATTTATAAAAATGAATTTCAGTTAAAAACAAATGAATTTAGAAATAATTCTCAAAAAACTTATTTCAAAAATTATTAAAAAGTAATGGATTTATAGAATAATTTAAGTTAAAAACACTAAAAAAAATTTAATTTTGGAGAAGTTACAAATTTTTGCAGAAATTTAATTGTTTTCAAGAGAAATAAAATCCTTCGCAGATTTTAATTATGTTCAAAAATAATAAAATTCTTTTTAAGAATTCAACTATTAATTTAAAAAATCATAAAACTCATCGCAGAATTTCAATTATTTTTAAAACAATATTAGTCAAATTTTTCGAAAAATGTAATTATTCTCAAAAATTTTATTAAAAATCGCAGAAAGTATTCAGTTATTTAAAAATTTGTTGGTAAAATTCTTTATGAGAATTCTATTTTATTTATATTTATTTATATTTTTTGAATAATTCAATGTTTCTTAAAATAGAATTCTAGTAAAATTTTCTAATAAAAATTGATTTAAAAATGAATTTCAGTTAACATTTTAGATAATTGAATATTAAAAGCAATATAGCGTGGATTTTTAGAAATAATTAAATTAATTAATTGATTTAAAGAAGAATTTTCGTTAAAAATTCTTGAAAGTAAGAATTGAATTGAAATGATGAAAATAATTTTGAAGAAGTTTATAATTATGAATTTTTATAATTAAGAAAAAATGTAATTTACAGTTTACTGGTTCGAGCCCTGTATCAATTTTAAAATATTAAAAAAAAAATTATTTTAAAATGTATTATATAAAAATATTTAAACGTACCACACCGAAACTTTCCATAGAAATAACATATAATTTTCCAGCCGTTATTTGACAAGGAATAAGTACTCTCATAAGAATTATTTTTATCAGAGGTCTTGCTTTTAATGGAAATGAATACCATGTACTAAAGTAACTATACATAAAAAGAAGTAATAAAATTTTTATTAGAATTCATATAATTAATTTGGAAGCTTATTGTGAAACTTGCGTAAAGATTGCGTAAATTTCAGAAAGTTTGCGAAACTTGCAGCAAGCTTGACACACTTCTGTTAAACTACAGAAATTACAAAAATTACAATAATTACAATAATTGGGAATTATTATTAATGTAGGAAATTATTTGCTGATTGAGAATTTTTAATTAAGGAAGATTTCGACTATATCAGCAATTAGTGACATCTATTAGACGTCAATTGAACTCTTTGGTTTAGAGTCAGGTGTTATTCTTAAGATAATTATTCCGATATGGTTGTCGGTAAATAATTATATTTTTGAATTTAATTTTTGATCTGAAAAAATAAGCTGCGTGAACGACTGCACTGTGCATCTGTGAGGACTCGAACCCCAGTTAATAGCTGCCTTTCGCGGGACTAACGCCTACCAATGCACCATGCCAACACAGCCTGGACGTTCACGTTTCTTATAATCTCAGATCAAGCCCATACACTAGTCGAAGAGCTGTATAGTTAATGTAGGAAATTATTTGCTGATTGAGAATTTTTAATTAAGGAAGATTTCGACTATATCAGCAATTAGTGACATCTATTAGACGTCAATTGAACTCTTTGGTTTAGAGTCAGGTGTTATTCTTAAGATAATTATTCCGATATGGTTGTCGGTAAATAATTATATTTTTGAATTTAATTTTTGATCTGAAAAAATAAGCTGCGTGAACGACTGCACTGTGCATCTGTGAGGACTCGAACCCCAGTTAATAGCTGCCTTTCGCGGGACTAACGCCTACCAATGCACCATGCCAACACAGCCTGGACGTTCACGTTTCTTATAATCTCAGATCAAGCCCATACACTAGTCGAAGAGCTGTATAGTTAATGTAGGAAATTATTTGCTGATTGAGAATTTTTAATTAAGGAAGATTTCGACTATATCAGCAATTAGTGACATCTATTAGACGTCAATTGAACTCTTTGGTTTAGAGTCAGGTGTTATTCTTAAGATAATTATTCCGATATGGTTGTCGGTAAATAATTATATTTTTGAATTTAATTTTTGATCTGAAAAAATAAGCTGCGTGAACGACTGCACTGTGCATCTGTGAGGACTCGAACCCCAGTTAATAGCTGCCTTTCGCGGGACTAACGCCTACCAATGCACCATGCCAACACAGCCTGGACGTTCACGTTTCTTATAATCTCAGATCAAGCCCATACACTAGTCGAAGAGCTGTATAGTTAATGTAGGAAATTATTTGCTGATTGAGAATTTTTAATTAAGGAAGATTTCGACTATATCAGCAATTAGTGACATCTATTAGACGTCAATTGAACTCTTTGGTTTAGAGTCAGGTGTTATTCTTAAGATAATTATTCCGATATGGTTGTCGGTAAATAATTATATTTTTGAATTTAATTTTTGATCTGAAAAAATAAGCTGCGTGAACGACTGCACTGTGCATCTGTGAGGACTCGAACCCCAGTTAATAGCTGCCTTTCGCGGGACTAACGCCTACCAATGCACCATGCCAACACAGCCTGGACGTTCACGTTTCTTATAATCTCAGATCAAGCCCATACACTAGTCGAAGAGCTGTATAGTTAATGTAGGAAATTATTTGCTGATTGAGAATTTTTAATTAAGGAAGATTTCGACTATATCAGCAATTAGTGACATCTATTAGACGTCAATTGAACTCTTTGGTTTAGAGTCAGGTGTTATTCTTAAGATAATTATTCCGATATGGTTGTCGGTAAATAATTATATTTTTGAATTTAATTTTTGATCTGAAAAAATAAGCTGCGTGAACGACTGCACTGTGCATCTGTGAGGACTCGAACCCCAGTTAATAGCTGCCTTTCGCGGGACTAACGCCTACCAATGCACCATGCCAACACAGCCTGGACGTTCACGTTTCTTATAATCTCAGATCAAGCCCATACACTAGTCGAAGAGCTGTATAGTTAATGTAGGAAATTATTTGCTGATTGAGAATTTTTAATTAAGGAAGATTTCGACTATATCAGCAATTAGTGACATCTATTAGACGTCAATTGAACTCTTTGGTTTAGAGTCAGGTGTTATTCTTAAGATAATTATTCCGATATGGTTGTCGGTAAATAATTATATTTTTGAATTTAATTTTTGATCTGAAAAAATAAGCTGCGTGAACGACTGCACTGTGCATCTGTGAGGACTCGAACCCCAGTTAATAGCTGCCTTTCGCGGGACTAACGCCTACCAATGCACCATGCCAACACAGCCTGGACGTTCACGTTTCTTATAATCTCAGATCAAGCCCATACACTAGTCGAAGAGCTGTATAGTTAATGTAGGAAATTATTTGCTGATTGAGAATTTTTAATTAAGGAAGATTTCGACTATATCAGCAATTAGTGACATCTATTAGACGTCAATTGAACTCTTTGGTTTAGAGTCAGGTGTTATTCTTAAGATAATTATTCCGATATGGTTGTCGGTAAATAATTATATTTTTGAATTTAATTTTTGATCTGAAAAAATAAGCTGCGTGAACGACTGCACTGTGCATCTGTGAGGACTCGAACCCCAGTTAATAGCTGCCTTTCGCGGGACTAACGCCTACCAATGCACCATGCCAACACAGCCTGGACGTTCACGTTTCTTATAATCTCAGATCAAGCCCATACACTAGTCGAAGAGCTGTATAGTTAATATAGGAAATTATTTGCTGATTGAGAATTTTTAATTAAGGAAGATTTCGACTATATCAGCAATTAGTGACATCTATTAGACGTCAATTGAACTCTTTGGTTTAGAGTCAGGTGTTATTCTTAAGATAATTATTCCGATATGGTTGTCGGTAAATAATTATATTTTTGAATTTAATTTTTGATCTGAAAAAATAAGCTGCGTGAACGACTGCACTGTGCATCTGTGAGGACTCGAACCCCAGTTAATAGCTGCCTTTCGCGGGACTAACGCCTACCAATGCACCATGCCAACACAGCCTGGACGTTCACGTTTCTTATAATCTCAGATCAAGCCCATACACTAGTCGAAGAGCTGTATAGTTAATGTAGGAAATTATTTGCTGATTGAGAATTTTTAATTAAGGAAGATTTCGACTATATCAGCAATTAGTGACATCTATTAGACGTCAATTGAACTCTTTGGTTTAGAGTCAGGTGTTATTCTTAAGATAATTATTCCGATATGGTTGTCGGTAAATAATTATATTTTTGAATTTAATTTTTGATCTGAAAAAATAAGCTGCGTGAACGACTGCACTGTGCATCTGTGAGGACTCGAACCCCAGTTAATAGCTGCCTTTCGCGGGACTAACGCCTACCAATGCACCATGCCAACACAGCCTGGACGTTCACGTTTCTTATAATCTCAGATCAAGCCCATACACTAGTCGAAGAGCTGTATAGTTAATGTAGGAAATTATTTGCTGATTGAGAATTTTTAATTAAGGAAGATTTCGACTATATCAGCAATTAGTGACATCTATTAGACGTCAATTGAACTCTTTGGTTTAGAGTCAGGTGTTATTCTTAAGATAATTATTCCGATATGGTTGTCGGTAAATAATTATATTTTTGAATTTAATTTTTGATCTGAAAAAATAAGCTGCGTGAACGACTGCACTGTGCATCTGTGAGGACTCGAACCCCAGTTAATAGCTGCCTTTCGCGGGACTAACGCCTACCAATGCACCATGCCAACACAGCCTGGACGTTCACGTTTCTTATAATCTCAGATCAAGCCCATACACTAGTCGAAGAGCTGTATAGTTAATGTAGGAAATTATTTGCTGATTGAGAATTTTTAATTAAGGAAGATTTCGACTATATCAGCAATTAGTGACATCTATTAGACGTCAATTGAACTCTTTGGTTTAGAGTCAGGTGTTATTCTTAAGATAATTATTCCGATATGGTTGTCGGTAAATAATTATATTTTTGAATTTAATTTTTGATCTGAAAAAATAAGCTGCGTGAACGACTGCACTGTGCATCTGTGAGGACTCGAACCCCAGTTAATAGCTGCCTTTCGCGGGACTAACGCCTACCAATGCACCATGCCAACACAGCCTGGACGTTCACGTTTCTTATAATCTCAGATCAAGCCCATACACTAGTCGAAGAGCTGTATAGTTAATGTAGGAAATTATTTGCTGATTGAGAATTTTTAATTAAGGAAGATTTCGACTATATCAGCAATTAGTGACATCTATTAGACGTCAATTGAACTCTTTGGTTTAGAGTCAGGTGTTATTCTTAAGATAATTATTCCGATATATTGAACCAAAGAGTTCAATTGACGTCTAATAGATGTCACTAATTGCTGATATAGTCGAAATCTTCCTTAATTAAAAATTCTCAATCAGCAAATAATTTCCTACATTAACTATACAGCTCTTCGACTAGTGTATGGGCTTGATCTGAGATTATAAGAAACGTGAACGTCCAGGCTGTGTTGGCATGGTGCATTGGTAGGCGTTAGTCCCGCGAAAGGCAGCTATTAACTGGGGTTCGAGTCCTCACAGATGCACAGTGCAGTCGTTCACGCAGCTTATTTTTTCAGATCAAAAATTAAATTCAAAAATATAATTATTTACCGACAACCATATCGGAATAATTATCTTAAGAATAACACCTGACTCTAAACCAAAGAGTTCAATTGACGTCTAATAGATGTCACTAATTGCTGATATAGTCGAAATCTTCCTTAATTAAAAATTCTCAATCAGCAAATAATTTCCTACATTAACTATACAGCTCTTCGACTAGTGTATGGGCTTGATCTGAGATTATAAGAAACGTGAACGTCCAGGCTGTGTTGGCATGGTGCATTGGTAGGCGTTAGTCCCGCGAAAGGCAGCTATTAACTGGGGTTCGAGTCCTCACAGATGCACAGTGCAGTCGTTCACGCAGCTTATTTTTTCAGATCAAAAATTAAATTCAAAAATATAATTATTTACCGACAACCATATCGGAATAATTATCTTAAGAATAACACCTGACTCTAAACCAAAGAGTTCAATTGACGTCTAATAGATGTCACTAATTGCTGATATAGTCGAAATCTTCCTTAATTAAAAATTCTCAATCAGCAAATAATTTCCTACATTAACTATACAGCTCTTCGACTAGTGTATGGGCTTGATCTGAGATTATAAGAAACGTGAACGTCCAGGCTGTGTTGGCATGGTGCATTGGTAGGCGTTAGTCCCGCGAAAGGCAGCTATTAACTGGGGTTCGAGTCCTCACAGATGCACAGTGCAGTCGTTCACGCAGCTTATTTTTTCAGATCAAAAATTAAATTCAAAAATATAATTATTTACCGACAACCATATCGGAATAATTATCTTAAGAATAACACCTGACTCTAAACCAAAGAGTTCAATTGACGTCTAATAGATGTCACTAATTGCTGATATAGTCGAAATCTTCCTTAATTAATTATTATTAATGTTCGATACTCACACAGCATTCTGCATGTTAAGACTGTGATCAATTAATTTTTGACATGGTAAACTATGCATGTATAAATGTATTACTTGTCCAAGCACAACCGGAAGCCATCTTATTGCTTCATCCAGATTTTCCATTTTCATGACAATCTGAGAGCGAAAAATTTCAAACTTTACATAATGATTGTGTTGTGTTGACTAAATTATCTTTTAATTCAACAAACTAATTTATTACATATTTCTACATAAATCAAAACGAAAAGTCACATCAATTCTTTAAGGGGTCAGGCCACCATGCACCTGTAAAAAAGAATGGTCAAATTTGGGAATTTTTTCAAAGATTATATTAAAAGCTATTAAATTTTCGTATTCAGTACTTTATATATATATATATATCCAAATGTACCAAAAAATATATTAAACCTATTTTTTTTAATATAAAATGGCCTGCTCCAGGATCCGTTTTAAATAATGACGTTTTTTTGAGGCCCAAAATTGGCGGAATGACTGTACCTACAAAATTGAACCTGGAATAAAAAACCAAAAATTTTCTTTTAATATATGCCATAAACTAGTAGACCATGTAAGGGATTTTGAAAATATTGTTTTTTCGAAAAATGGCAAGTATATAAACAAAAAATACTGTTCTCGTACACAAATTTAATTACTTAATTGTTTATAAAAAGAAAAATTTGCAACATATCAAAAAATCCCTACGTGGTCTACTAGTTTATGCCATATATTAAAAGACAATTTTTGGTTTTTTATTCCAGGTTCAAATTTGTCGGTACAGCCATTCCGCCCGTTTTGGGCCTCCAAAAAACGTCATTATTTAAAACGGATCCTGGAGCAGGCCATTTTATAATAAAAAAAATATGTTTAATATATTTTTTGGTACATTTTGAGATAAATATAATAAAGTACTGAATACGAAAATTTAATAGCTTTTTTATCCCACATGCACAAAAATGGCGCTTTTAGATAGCTGACGACAGGGAGTAAAGTCATTCATTTGTTCGACCATATGAAAATGGCGTCCATTTTCTCCCATGTGCAAACATAACCGCTGATCCCATGCGTTATTTTTGCCCAAGGGAGAAAACGGCCGCCATTTTCATATAAGTTGAACAAGTGACTGACTTTTATTCCCTGTCGTCTGCTATCTGAAATCGCCACTTTTGTGCATTAGGAATAAAAAATATCGTAAGTAACATGGGAATAAAGGCAGCCAATTTGTAAACAAATGGCTGCCTTTATACCCTTGTTGCTTAATATACAATTAATATACTCTTTGCAAAAATTCCCAAATTTGACCATTCTTTTTTACACGTGCATGGTGGCCTGACCTCTTAAGAATAAATTGTTATGCTATTTCCCTTTTTTAAATATATTTTTATCGTCGAAAATAAATTCTTCTATTACCTTTACACCCGTAATACTTATTACAATCATATTGATTCCCATTTGAAAAAGAAAAGTTTTTGAATATGCAGACTGTATTTCATCTGCAAAGCTTGGGCAAAAGAAAAAAGTAAGTCAATCAATTCAAAACTTTTCAGACAGCACGCAACCTTGCTGCAAGATTTCATACTATCAGAATTGAGTTATCACCCAAATAGCGAAAATTTAATTAGCAATATTAGAATAAAATTCGGTAATTACGAATATGAAGTCAGATTCTTAAAATTTTAAATGACGGGTTCAATATGGCTAACGATCAAATTAAAAATGAAGCAGATTTTGATTAAAAATTATCACTTTGACTGCACGGAGAGAAAAAACAAGGCTTTTCCCCGTGACTTCAATTCATGCCTTTTTCAGGAAGCAGTTTCACCAGATTTCCCGATGAATTTCTTGCGTTTAGCGGTTAGGCCACGCCTTAGCCCTTATTGGCCTAAGCTCGTTGCAAGATTCTCACCGGGAAAAACCGTGAGCGTCCTGCGTTTGTACTGTGATAATTTTCACGCGTTAAATGCATATTTTTTCATGGGGAAAAGCCTTGTTTTTTCTCCCCGTGTGGTTATTTTGAAATCTGCGAGTCACAACTTTCAAGTAAATTTGACAGACTTTTAGTTTTATCGCCCACCATATTGGATCCGCCATTTTGAATTTGGAAAATATTGCGCTATCTGGTCAATAAAAAAATTCTCAATTATTCCAAAATTTATCTTCTTGCATAATTTTACATTTTTACATCAAAGTATAAAATTTAAAATGCAAAATTTTGGAACAATTCTCAAATATAATTTTCGAAAATACCAACTGCAAAATGTCAATATGACTTTTAACACATTTTATTATTTCCCTATGAACGTCATCATCTGAATTATCACACCACTCCGCAGGATTTTGAATACCTTTTGCTGTTACATTTTTCAGTCGATGCCTGTTAGAGACTTTAAAAATTAAATGATACATAGAAAAATAATGAGAGCATAAATGCAACATGAAATTATGAAGTAATTATTATTAATACAATAATAATTGTGATGTAAAATAAAATTTTTGTTACCCTATAATTTCAAACATTCCACAGCAATGTAACACGTACGTTATAAACATTGTGTCTACCGATAGCAATATCGTTATAAAAAAAAATGAACTAATATAAGAATGAACTAACAAATATATATGATACTTTTTCACATTTATAATATTCTCGACTGGAAATAGCAAAGGATAGGTTTCATTTTGTCCAGGTATTACTTTTTCTCCAATTAACTGAAGCGTTGGAATAAGAACGAAAATAATCAGAGCACCATACACGATTTCTAGTAGAAATTTTTTTTTTATTTATTGTTATAATAACTACTTTCAAACTACTTTTTATGCTTTATATTTTTTATAAATATAAAATATATTTTGTAAATATAAAATAAATTTTATTTTTACTTTATTTATTTTTTTCTAAATAATGTCTCACGACTTTTCTTTGAAAAGGAAAAAAATTTAATTTTTATCCTACCTGCACGAAAAGTATGTCATTTCGGGCACTTAAGGCGGGCGCAAAGTAACTCATTCCGCCTGGGAGTAGGGGAAGCGGGTGGAAAAGTATTTTCCGCCCGCATGTTAATTATTCGATTTTCTTCATTTAAATGCGACATTTTCGACTTTCGTTTTATGTTGACTATAAAAATGCAAACATTTTCAACTTGATTTATTTTGTCTATAAAAATGTGTAAATTTTTTTCGATTTTCTCTAAAAAAAAATTATGACACATTTGGTTTTGTTCCCATTTCGTTTGTAAAAATTGTCAATTTTAAACGTTCTTGTTTCAGTTTTGTTTAATTATTGATTACTACGTTCTATACAAATAAATACTATATTTCCAGAATACAGTGTTTTCTTATTTATATATTAAAACTTCTATCATTATAGACTTCAAAGAGTTAACATTTATATAGAGTTTAATTTTTAACTAATATGAGCGTTTAATCGTTCGGGCTCTCAATGCCATACTTTCCATGTAGTTAGGACAAAAAATTATGTTCGCATCATGGGCGCAAAGGTGATTACGACTCTGGCGAAATCACCTATTTTAGGCCCTTGATACGAAAATAACTATTATAGAAATCTTTACGAACTTACTTAAATAAATTATGGTCATATTATGACTATCTGATGCATAATCTCTTAAAATTTGAATATCCGATAAGCCGTACAAAGACGTCCAATGATTTTGCATTCTTAATAAAAGTTCTTTCATCTAAATATAAGAACACGGAGGGACTATCAAACATTATACATATGAAGACAATTTCTCCTATACTAAATGAGACGCGCTCTGAAGAAAGGTACCTAGAAAGCAAAAATTTTGATTTTCAGAATGAAAATATAGATTAACTCTAAATATAAACCACTTTTTTAAAGTCTTCGTTACATCTAAAATAATAAATAAAAACTTCTTAGGTACCATTCTTGGGAGCGTGTCACATATAAAAATAAAAAATGAAAAACGACCAAAAAAACAATAGAAACTGTTTTTTCAAAAAAGAAAAAATTATGCCTACCTTTTTCTTGTTTACTATACAATTACTCATTTTTGCTATACAAACTGAGTCCGTTACAAGATGTGACACAATTTCAAAAACCATATCCATATCTGGCCAATAATTTATTACAGAAGTAATCTGCACAAAATTAGTAAAAAAAAAATTCTAATTAAAAAATTAAAAAAGATTTAAAATCTTTTATCTGAATTAATTGAAAAACTACCTGTAAATACATTTGAGATAATAAAAATGTCATTATAATGAAAACTATAATACAAGATCTTTTGATTGATTGAAATGGCCATTGTCCAATGCTAGATAAAAGAATTATATTCAGTCGATAGTAGGAGATTTCTGAAAGTTCTACCATTGCAATAGTTAAAATAAAAACTTATTATCTTCCTCAAGTTTTATCATTTTAACGCGTATTCTTTATAGACCGTTACCTTACGTATACTCAACATTAATATTGCACATGATATATATCCTTTTTCTTCTTAAAAATGATAATTCTGTATTATTAGACAAAAAAAAAGTTCCTGTCAATATCCGTCAATTTAAAAATTTATGAATAACTTTAAAGAGAGGGAACAAAATGTACATGCATTGCAGTTTCATTATTATTAATACACTCAAATCGTAGGTACTTTAGGTGTGATGAAAAAAAATTATTTCTCTTTTATGATGGTAAGTAAAATTTTTTAGAATTATAATTACTTTGTAATATTTGCAGTAATATAAGTAACTAGTGCGATAGAGCAAAATTAAAATGTTTTTTTAAAATAAAATTGGAAATTAAAATTTCAAACGAGAAATTTTATTGTTTATAACATTACAGCAAACTTTTGAATTAGTCGTCTGTATTGTAGACAAGCCCTTCTCTACAATAAAGACAACTAAACAGAATGTTGACAGAAATGTTACTTTTCATTTAATTGTCTCTATTGAAGGCCTCGAACCAATGAACTTTTCGGACCAACAATGAAAATTTACGGACCAATTACTGACAAAAATATTCAAAATTATTTTCATCATTTCAATTCAATTATTACTTTCAAGAATTTTCAACTAAATTTCTTCTTTAAATTAATTAATTTTCAAAAAAGTTCTCTGACAATTTTCAAATCCATTTGTTTACAATATTCAATTTTACCAATATTGCAATTATTCGTAAATTCTTCAATTAAATATAAATTAAAAAATAAAAACTTCAAATAGTATAAAAAAATTCAAATTAAACTTTTTCAAAAAAATTATTTTCAAAATTTAATTATTTTTAAAAATTTACGCTTTATTGCTTTTAATATTCAATTATTATCTAAAATTTTAATTGAAATTCATTTTTAAATCAATTTCTATTAGGAAATTCTACGAGAATTCAATTATTTAAATACAAAAATAAATAATTTATTGAATAATTTAATGTTTCTTAAAATATAATTCTCATAAAGAATTTTATCAACAAAATTTTTAAATAATTGAATTCTTTTGGAAAATTTTATTAAAATAGCAGATATTGAAAATCATTGAATTGAGGAAAATTTTTGAAAATAATTGAATTTTTTTAATTAAATTTTTGCGTAGAATTTTATTACTTTTAAAAAATAATTGAATTTCTGCAACAATTTGTAACTTCTCTCCAAAATTAAATTATATTTTAGTGTTTTTAAATAAAATTTTTCTATAAATTCAATATTTTTAATAATTTTTGGAAAAGTTTTTTTAGAATAATTACATTTATCGAGGAATTCGATTAAAATTTTATAATAAAGTAATTGAAATTCTGCATTGAGTTTTATTATTTATGAAAATAATTGACTTTCTAAAGAGAATTTTATTATGTACGAAAATAATTGAATCCCTGTAAAAATTTTATTTTATTTATGAAAATAATTGAATTATTACGAAGAAATTTTTAAAAAATTTGTAAATAATAATTGAATTATTACGAAGAAATTTATAAATAATTTGTAAATAAATGAATTATTACGAAGAAATTTTTATCATTTTATGAAAATAATTAAATGTTTGCGTAGAATTTTATTAAAATTTTTGAAAATAATTGAATTCTTTTGGAAAATTATATTAAAATACATAGTAGTTATTGAAAAGCATTGAATTGATGAATTTTTTTTTTTTGAAAATAATTAAAATTTTATTAAAATTTTTGAAAATAATTGAATTTTGGAAGAGGAATTTTATTATTTCTAAAGATAATTGAAATTTTTACGAGAATCTTTTTAAATTTTGGAACATAATTAAATTTCAGCAAAGAATTTTATTACTCTTAATAATAATTGAATTTCTGCAATTATTTGTAATTTCTCTAAAATTCTCCAAATTATATCGTACAATTTACGAACTTTTCGTCCTTTTTCAATCAAATTACGGACTTTACGGACCTGTTTTCAAAAAAACTGACTTTTACGAACATTCAGGGGAAGATAAAGGAGGGGATTACTTATTTAAATAATTTTTTGTAAATAAATTTTCAAACATTTAAAAAGTGCCCTCGGTATTTTTATTCGAACACTTCTATATGCAAACAGTCATTTAATTGCAGAAGATACATGTTAACATGTTTGTCGTCATATAAATGTTGACACGTTTTTTTTAATACCTTGTTTAATAATACTTACAACGTTGTAATAATACTAATAATAATCATACAGTAATACAAAATTTAAAAAGTTGATGAAAATTTTATTTTCCAATGTTTTTTGGAATTCTAAATTTTTGCTTAATGCAATTTATCTTACGGATAATAAGAGTGTAAAGTAGGACATTGATGTTTTGAGTATCTTGAAAGTAATATGTAATTTTTATTATTTTTCTAGCGGAATTTAAAAGAAAAATTGGTTTGTTCATTTAATTATATATACATAATAGATAGATAAACCTACCAGACTGAAACTTTCCATTGACATAACGTACAATTTTCCAGCCGTTATTTGACAAGGATTTACTACTCTCATCAAAATTATTTGTATCAGTGGCCTTGTTTTTAATGGAAACGAATACCATGGAATGCAATATCTGAATAGAAAAATATCCCAAATTAGTAATTAGTAAAATTAATAAGATTAATTAAATTAATTGTGTAAATTAATAAAATTAAAGGTATCAATATTAATTATATTAATTATAAATATTAATTATTAAATAATAATAAATGTTTGATGTAATAAATCTCAAAATAAAAATTAATGACATACACAGCATTCTGAATGCTAAGACTGTGGTCAATTAATTTTTGGCATGGCAAACTATTCATATATAAATGTAATACTTGAGCATTTACACTTGAGAGCCATCTAAGTACTTGTTCTGGATTTTCTAAATTTATGACAATCTGAGCAAGAAAATGTTATTATTTTTTTTTCTAATTTTATTGAGTAGAAAAGTAATTAATTTTTTCTAAATATGTTTTTATCGTCGAGAATAAATTTCTCTATTACCTGTACACCCGTGATACTCATTACAAGAATATTAATTCCAATTTGAAAAAGAAAACTCGTTGAATAAGCAGATTCAAGAAGGTCTGCAAATCTTACGTGTAAATAAAATTAATTTTATTTAAATAAATCGAGTGTATAAAAAAGAATAATTAATGAAAAATATATAATTACAATCGGTCAGTTTTGAAATTTGACTTTGACTTTAGATTCGATTTTGACTTTCACTCTGACTTTGACTTTAATTTTAGCTTCGAATGTTAAAGTGAAAGTCGAAATAAAAATGAAAGTCAAAGTTAAAATCAAATCGAGAGTCAAAGTAGTAAAAAGATTATTGAATATTAGTAGGTTAATAGGTTAATAAATATTAATAGTTTAATAGACACAAGTAGGTAAAATACTAACTCTAAAATTTCCGAATGATGTTTAATACATTTTACAATCTTATTAAATACTTCATTATCTAAATCCTTCAACCACTCTTGAAGATCTTCAATATTTTTCGGTATTATTCTACTCAATTGACTCCTGTTGGATATTTTATAGTTTAAATGTTACATAGAAAAATATTAAATAAATTAGTATAGATTTTTAGGAGTTACTCTTAGTGCGTTTGTAAGAAATTTGCGTATCATAACTACGGATGTAAATAATAATGCGGACAGTTAGGTTTTAGTTATTAATTTAAGTACAATCTTTAGTTATATTAGTACTTTGTACGAAAGGGTTTTACCCGTTAACATTTTGAATAAATAAATAAATAAATAAATAAATAGTAAATAACTATAAAATAGTAACAAGAAAATAACAATAATTTATTATACCATAATTAGATAAATGAATGTAATATTTGTCACCTTAACACTGCAAACATTCCACAGCAGTGACTCATATATGTTATAAACATTGTGTCTATTGCTACCACAACTGTGACAAAAAAAAATGTACTAAAATAAGAATGAACTAATTCGATTTTATGATATTTCTCAAGATTCATTATATTGTGAATTGGATATGGCATAGGATAGGTTTGATTTTTTCCTGGCAAAACAATTTCTGCAATTGACTGAAGTGTTGGGACGAGCATAAACAATGATATGGCTGAATAACAGATTTCTAAAATAAGAAAAAAATTACATTTCTTAGGAATATATTTATTGATAATTTATTGATGTAGATACAAAATTTCTTTATAGGACTTTTTGCATGTACGATTATTTATATATTGTTCGATAATTTATAATTTTTGACTTTCGCTTCGATTTTGACTTTGACATTCGGCTTTCATTTTGACCTTTGAAGTTAAAGTGAACGTCAAAGTGAAATTGAAAGTCAAAGTCAAACTTTCGATTCGGTTATCACTTTGACTTTGATTTTCATTTTTATTTTCACTTTGACCTTCAAAGCGAAAATCTAAGTCAAAGTGAACGTCAAAGTAAAAATGAAATTCAACGACAAAGTCAAAGTTGAAGCGAAAATCAAAGTAAAAATTTTCTCACATGACCTTAATCGAATTTTTAAAACCACTTTCTTTTCGCAATTAAAGATTAAACGACAAACTTACTTGTATAAAGTAATGTCATTTTTTGACTATAACTCGAATAATTCTTTAAAACATCAATATCTGAAGTATCGTTCAAATAAGTCGTCCAATAAGTCTCCATTTTTTCTAAAAGATCTTTCATCTAAAATAACAAACCTATTTAAAAATTTTTTATTTGCATTTTAAATAAAAAAAAATACAATCAAATAGTAACAAAACTATAATTTTCTCACAATAAACGACAAATTATTTATCAAAAGAAAAGTTTTTTTTTTAAATTTTCTCTCACCTTTTTCCTATTTATAATACAATTACACAATTTTACTGAACAAATTATTCCAATAATAAGAGGCGATACAATTTCAGCAATTATTTCCAAATCTGGCCAATAATCTATTATAGAAATAATCTGGCAAATATTTGTTTTTATTTATTTTTTTATTTTATAAACAAAAAATTTCCTATTTTCTTTAAGCATAAATAATAATAATAATAATAATAATAATAATAATAATAATAATAATAATAATAATAATAATAATAATAATAATAATAATAATAATAATAATAATAATAATAATTATAATAATTATAATAATAATAATTATAATAATTATAATAATAAATAGATTTAAAATAAATAAATAAAATTATTAATAATAAAAATAAATAAATAAAAAATAATACAAAATAAGGATTATTTTTTTGTGAATATTTTGTAAAATGACCTGCATATAAACTTCAGATAATGTGGTTACTATCATAATGACAAATATAATACGAGACTCCATTGTTGATTGAAATGGCCATTGTCCAATGATAGAGAGAAGAATTTTATTCAAACGATAATAATGAATTTGAAAAAAATCTGACATTGTTAATATAATGGTATATAATATACAAATAACTATATTATAATCTTCGTCAAAAAGTTTTAAAATGAAAAAGTTTAAAATGAATTCTACGAATTCAATTTTACCTTACAAATGTATATTTAATATTAATAATTCAAATGTCGATGATATGATTTCTGTATTATTTAAACGAATATATTCCTGCGTCTATCCGTCAATATAAAAGTCATTAATCTTGCAGAAAGTGAAATAAGTTGCGTGCATTGTGAAAAGATTTAGTTTTATCGCTTCATTATTTCTTTAAAATATTCAAATCGTGCTTTGCGTTTTGTTATACAAAACTTAAATCTTTTTTTACGTGGTTATAAATATTTTTAAATTGACTATTACTTTCAGTTCAAGTTGTACCTATACTGTTAAATTATAATTACCCTTCTTTGTTATTCAGACGTACCGAATTTCAAAACTATTAATAATAGTTTTCTTATAATAAGTTAAAATAATTAAAATGAAACAAGAATCTGAATTATTTTGATAAAATTTGAATTAAATTAATAACTATATTTGAATTATATTTTTATTAAAGGTAAATTATATTATTAATTAAACCTTCGCGGTTTAACGACATGTGACTGTAACAATTTAAAATTTTTCAACCAGTTTTCTCTTAATATTATTAATAAACTGAGCTGATATTTTGTAAGGAAGTTTGAAATATAGTAAGAAAGGAGCGTACGGTACAAAAGTTTAAACATTTTCAAAATTAATTAATATAAAACACTTTTAAATCTGATAAAAAGTAAGGCTATGAGTAACCGTCTAAACTGATGAATTTAAAAGTGTTTTATAAGAATTAATTAAAAAGCAATTTTTTTTAAATTTCTTATTGTTTATTTATAAATTTTGTCAATTTATATGTAAGGAGTCTACCAAGATGGTTCAATTTTTATCCGTTTGTTAAAAGAACTAATTTTACTGAAATTAACAAACCATAATAATTAACATTTAATAAATAACAAAAATTACAAAAAATTACAAAAATAACAAAAATTAACAAAATTAACGATAGTTTTAGTGTCAAACGAGGTGTCAAATTTTAAAAAAGCACAACTCAATGGAAAAATTACAAATCATAATTTATTTCACCCATTTCATTATCACATTACCACACAACTTCAATTAAATTCCTTGTCATAATAATTTATCTAATAATTATTATTTATAGACGAAAAGTACGAAGAATTAAATGCTGATTGGCGACATAATATGGAAATATCAAGATCTATTTTATGCTCAATACAAACTGCACAATTGTGGTTGAAAAAATATCGCAACGGAAAAGAAGCAATAACCATTAAGGACCCGTTGATCAAAATTTGTCCTAAAAAAGCAAAAGGTGAAAATATTTTTTTAAGCATTGAACATTGACTATAAATATTTATTTTTTTATTTCGATATAAATCTTTAATTATTTATCACAAAGAATTTAGTGGATTTTGAAAAAAGTGCGAAGAAATTGTTATCTTGTTTAATCTGAATTTTTAACTATCTCACAAATAATAGAACAGTAAAGTATGACATCGATGTCCTTAATACCTTTATATTTTATCACAAATAATTCCATATTAATATGATAATTTTTTTATATTCATTATTTAACCCTTTAATGCCCTCAGAAAGGGAGGAAAAAACTTTTAAAAATCAAACATATATTTTTAGAGGTTTTTAGAAACGCTGATTACGAATTCGAGGCCAATTTTCAAAATTCAAAATGGCGATCAAACTTTTTTAAGTTTATTGAATTAGCTTGAAATTGAATTAGCCACGTACCTCACTGCTTGATCTGGATTATCCAGTTTCATCAGAATCTGAGAAAAAATTTAGTTTCAGTTTTCTTTGGAAAATAAACAAATTAGAGAAAATTAAACTACAGTTGTAGAAAGACCTTAAACTAATAGAATCAGAATTGATTTTGTTAAATTTTGTCAAATTTAACCTAAATTGACATAAAGAATCAACTCTTGAACAGCAGGTAAAAAATTAAGTCAAATTTTGACATAAATTATATTCTTCTTTTGTATGTCAAAAATAAAATAGGTTTAGGTTAAATTTGACCTAAACTGACATAAAAAATAAACTCTTGAACAGCAGATAAAAAATTACATCAAAGATATGTCAAAGATTTGTCAAAATTTAACCAAATTTTTACCTGCTGTTCAAGGGTTGATTCTTCTTTACTTGTAGGTCGAAAAAAGGTCAAAATTAACGTAACGTAAGAAACCATTACCATAGGACAAAAATAGGTCTAATTTTGAAGTAACGTCACGACTCTTGTAGGTCAAAAATATGTAAATTTAAACTAAATTTTGCCTTAACATAAAGTTCTATCACATGAAGTCAAAAATATATCAAACTCGACCTACATTTCAACGTAACACCAAGGAAATTGACCTAAAGGTCAAAAAATGTAAATTTAACATAAATTTTCAAGTATCATAAAAGTTCTTTGACATAAAGTCAAAAATATGTTAAATTTGACCAAAATTTTAACGTAAAATGAAGAAAATTGATCTAAAGGTGAAAAAAATAAGTCAAATTTGACCTAAATATAATTTATTCAATTACCTGTAAAAGTATGACACTCATTGAAATTACATTAATTCCTGTTTGAAAGAGAAAAGTTGTGGAATACGTTGATTCCAGAAATTCTACAAAACTTTTAAATGAGAAAAAAGGAAAATATCAGTTAATGTAAATTAATTAAAATAAAAAATGTCGTAGATAGCATCAAAATATTCTAAAATTTACTTCAACAAATATTATTTTCCTATTAACAAAAAGAAAAAAGAACTAAAATTAATTTGCTAAAAAGAAACCTCTTCATGGAAACAGTGATACTAACTCTATAACTTCAGCATGTGTTTTAAAGGATTTTAAAAGTTTACAGTTCAGATCTTCATCTTTAGCCAAATTGTCACTATTTCTCGAGGATACATTTTCTAACTGGTACCTATAAATTTTATATGTTTATCATTTGACATAAAAATATTAGCATGAATTTTAAAAGTAATCAATCAGATATCATCTAAAAGATTTGGACCTACATTTTTACGTCAAATAATCTTTATATCAAGTGAATTTTGTCAAATGAGAATTTTGGTAAATTACTTTTATTATGTCAAAATGTTAAGTGAAATGAAATTTGTGTCAATTGATGTTTATGTTAAATGAATTTTATGTCAAATAAAATATAAATCAAATGAATTTTATGTCAAATAAGACAGAAATCAAATGAATTTTATGTCAAATAAAACAGAATCAAATAAATTTTATGTCAAATGAAATACAAGTCAAATAAATGTTATGTCAAATAAATGTTATGTCAAATAAACGCAAATCAAATTAATTTTGTGTCAAATAAAATACAAGTCAAATGAATTTTATATCAAAATGAAATTTAGATCAAATGCGGATTATGTTAAATCTAACATTTACGTCAATTCAATTTTATCTCAATTAAAATTTCAGTCAAGTTATTTTTCAGTTAAGTAAAATTAATGTTAAATGAATTTTTTGGTAAATGAAATGTATATTAATTAATTTTGTCAAATTTTATGTCAAATGGGAATTATATTATGTTATATGAGTTTTATGTAAAATAAAATACGTATAAATAAAAAAGTTATGTCAAATGAATCTTATGTTCAATGAAATTTATGTCAAAAGAATTTGATGTCAAATGAAATTTACGTCAAACGAATTTCACGTTAAATGAAATTCATGTCAAACGAATTTCACGTCAAATGAAATTTATGTCAAAGGAATTTCATGACAAATAAAATAAATTTTAATAAATTTTTAAAAAATTTTAAATATATCAACGAGAATAATTCTCCTCCGACTCTATTCTTCGTTTAATTTGAAGTTTAATATTAATGTCTTTAATCGATGATGCAAAGCCTATATTATTAACAAGCACCTGTCAGCTCATCAGTTTTGCATTAATTTTACAGTGAAAAGAGCATTGCGTGCGGTATTTATTTTAATGTACCAGGAAAAGATTAATAATTAATTAAAATGTACACTAAAAAAAAATTTAATTGACTCCAATAAATATTATTTGATTCAATTAAATATTTAATTGATAATAGTCAATTAATCGGTTATTTGAATCAATTAAATTTTTTTTTCAGTGTATGAAAAATCGTAAAGAGTAAAAATTTTTCGCCGCATAAAAATAAAGATTTTACATATTTTATACCATTTCAAACTGCATCTTTTTAGCTGAAATGTATGAAAAGGTAATAAACAAGAATTATTAGTTTAATCAATTTAATTAAATTTAAAATAATCAGTTAAATTAAAAATTCCACGAAATCTATCTCTGTGATTATTTAACTTGTCACTTTGCAAAATTAGAAAAAAACTACAATTTTCTACGTGTAGAAAAAAAATGTTTGTAAATAATAAAAAGAAATTGTTTAAACAAACGAAAAATGCAAGAAAAATTATAATTGTTTGGCAGCATAAAGCATATGATTAAAATAAGACAAACGAAAAAGATTATAAATCTTTTTGCAGAAAAAGAATTAAGGAAGTATTTCAATCTCAGTTCTGTCCGATCATAAATTGACAAAAGTATAAAAATTTTAAATAAACAATAAGATAATAATTTAAATAAGAAGCAATCACTTTTTTGTGGGAATTTTCACCTATAGCCTTAATTATATAATGAAGTATTAAAATTTTTTATTTTACTTTTCAAAATTCGCGCCAGATTTTTAATTTTAGCAACTGTAGCGCCTCCAGAATAATGGCGCCAATATTTGAAAACTGTAAGTAAAATATAATAATTTTTCAAGTAATTTTTCAATTAACAAAATAATAATGAGTCTCATAACAATTAAGACCATATTTTCACATTAGTTAAGGTAACACAGGAGAAAATAAATTAATTTTCTAAGTTGCTCCTCATTTAAAAAGAAATAAAAAATAAATCTTACTTTCAACTCACTTTTCACTAAAATCGTTTCCATTAGTAACATTTTTGACTGAATTTTAGTCTTAATGATCTTAAATTTTTAAATTAATCCAATCCAGTTTTAAGCCTAAAAATAAGACTACTTTTTAAGCATTTTGATTTTAAGCTGCAAAACGGTTTCAAACTTTGTTTTTTCTGTGTTTTTAATATTTAGAATATTTAGAATATTTATAACTATTTCAATTTAAAATTTTGTTAAAGTAATCTTAAAAGTTCTTCTTTCACATTGCCTGAGTTAAAATAATACCGACAAATAAATAGAATCCATTGGGGCGTAAATTTCAATTTTATTCCATTTTCATCGTCTCATTACCAGACCTTCAATTAAATTCCTTGTCACAATATTTGTTCTAATAATTATTATTTATAGACAAAAAGTGTGAGAAGAAATAAATGCTGATGACAATATAATGAAAATATCAAGATGTATTTTATGCTCAATACAAACTGCACAATATTGCGATTGAAAAAATTTCACAAACATTAAGGACTCGTTGGTCAATATTATTATCCTAAAAAAAGGAAGGTGAAAATATTTTTTAATGAATTGACTATAAATTTTTATTCATTTATTACGATATAAATATTTAATTATCATAAAGAATTTAGTGGACTTTGAAAAAAGTGAGAAAAAATTTTTACCTTGATTAATCTGTATTTTTAACTATCTCATAGATAACAGAACAGTAAAGTATGACATTGATGTCCTCAGTACCTTCATATTTTATCAAAAATAATTTCATATTAATGTGATAATTTTTTTATATTTATTATTTAACCCCTTAACGCCCCCAGAAAGAGAGGAGGGAACTTTTAAAAATCAAACATATATTTTTAAAGGTTTTTAGAAAGGCTGATTATGAATTCGAGGCCAATTGTCAAAATTCAAAATGGCGGATCCAATATGGCGATCAAACTTTTTTAAGTTCTTTGAATTAGCTTGAAACTTGTCATTCGGGGTTTTTTGGGTGTCAGTGATTACAAATCTTTTGTTAGTTTTTCAAAATTCAAAATAACGAACGACTTTTTAAAAATTGAAAGTTTATTTTGGGTCTGATTACGAATCAGATGTTAATTTTTGAAAATAAATATTGCAATATTCATAATGGACTATGAATATTGCAATATTTATTTTCAAAAATGAAAAGCAGATTTGTAATCAGACCCGAAAAAACCTTCGATTTTTAATAGACGACCTTAAAACTCTCCCCTTCCAAACAAATTTGAAAAAAAAATATTAAACTTCTTTAAAGATATTAAACTTTTTGTATAGGTGGAAAATGATTTTCCTAGGGGCGTTAAAGGGTTAATTTGTTAATATTTCCTCTTTCGAAATGAAGTTTTAAAAAATTAAACGCAACCAACCGTAGAGAAATTTTCCATAGACATAACGTACAGTTTACCAGCAGTAATTTGACAAGGTTTAATTACCCTCATTAATGCTATTTGTATCAAAGGTCTCAATTCTAATGGAAATAAATACCATGGAGAAGAGTAACTAAAAAAAGAATTTCGAAACTTAAATTTTAAAAATACTAAAAATTTACATTAAATTAAATTATATATTAATATTTTTAATTCTAGTGGGGCTCTAAAATTAATTTATTCTCAAATGTTATGTGCTATTTTTGTGTAAAATTTTCTACTAGATTTACAAACTTACATAGATTTCTGGATGTTTAAACTATGATCCATTAATTTCTGACATGACGAACTATTCATGTATAGGTGTAATAATTGAGCAAGTGCACTTGCTACGTACTTCACTGCTTGGTCCGGATTATCCAGTTTCACTAGAATCTGAGAAAATATTTAGTTTTTTAAAACCAAAAAAAATATGACTCAGTGCCAATTAGATTTTTTAGTTGTTTCAAATAAATGTTATATTTGGCTTAAATACAACTTTATGTGGTTCGAATAAATCTTTTTCTTTTTTCGAATAAAATTTTTATTTGAAACAAATAAATAATTTCGTAGGCGCTAAGACAAATGTACTTTTATTTACTAAATTTGTTGTAAGTACAAATAAAATTTTTCTCCAGGTGTAAAAAGTTAACGAATTATCGAGAAAAGCAGAACAGAATTGTAGAAAGACCTTAAAGTAACTAAATAAAACTAAATTAAACATTCAACATTACTAACATAATAGTATCAGAACAAAATTTAAAATTAAAAAAATGCAAAATAATATAACAAACAAAATGATATTCTCAACAACAAAAATTTTTATAATCAAAATAAAGAAACTGAGAGATAAAAAATTTTTTATTAAATAAATTTATATTTATTAATTATTATATAAAGTCTATGTAAAAAGGTGATAATTTTGAATTACCTGTAAAAGTATGACACTCATTGAAATTACATTAATTCCTGTCTGAAAGAGAAAAGTTGTCGAATACGTTGATTCCAGAAGTTCTGCAAAACTTTTACAGGAGATGAAAAGAAAACATCAGTTAATGTAAATTCGTTAAAGTATAAAGTAAATATCAATTAAAATGAGAAAATATTATAAATAATTAAAAATTTAATACATTATTTTCCAATTCGCAAACTACAATTAAAGCTAATAAGAAACCTTCCATGGAAACAGTGATACTAACTCCAAAACTTCAGCATGTGTTTTAATGTATTTTAAAAGTTTTCGATTCAGATCTTCATCTTTAGCCCAATTGGCACTATTTCTCAAAGATACATTTTCTAACTGATACCTATGAATTTTTTTAATTTTATAAATTATTTCACGCACTCTAAAGAGAAATGTACTTTAGCAGCAAAAAAAAAGTTTTAAATATAAATATCTGGAAATTTAAATAAGAAAAAACATTTTTTTTACCCCAACACTGCAAACATTCCACAGCCATGAAAAACGGATGTTAAAAACATAACGTCGCATGCTGAGAAAATCGTTAAAAAATAAAAACTACTAAAATAAGAATGAACTAACAGATACTTATGATATTTCTCCACATTCACGACATTTTGAACAGGAAATAGTAGAGGATATGTTTGATTTTTTCCTTCTAAACAGTATTCAAAAATTGACTGAACTGTCGGAGTCAAGGAAAACATTACAATAGAAAAGTACATAAGTCCTTTAGAGAAAAAAAAAGAATTTTCTTTAATTACTAAAAAAAAAAAACGTTTGATCTAAATTCTCGAACAATAATTTTTGGATAAATTACTTTGCGTTATTTAAGTTTTGAATTCAAGAACCCATAAACTTACGCGTATAAAGTAGTGCCCGTTTGTAACCATTATTTGTATAATTTTCCAGAATTTCAATTTCATAAGTGCCTTTCAAAAAAATCCAATGACTTTGCATTCTCAGTAAAATTCTCTCCATCTAAAACAAATTTCATAATTTAATATCGTTGGTAAATAAAAGAAAATTATATTTTTTACTTACATTCTTCGATTTTATAATACAGTTGCTTATTTTTGCTACAGAGAGTGCAGCAAGCATAAGTGTCGAACCTATATCAACAACCATATTTATATTTGGCCAATAGCAAATCATCGAAGAAATCTGTATAAATATTTTCACCTCATTAAACCGTAACACTTTTTATTTTAATTCTTGATAAACACACACTTTTTTTGATTGATGGGAAATAGTTATTATCGTATCAAGGGCGCAAAATAGGTGATTGCGGTGATGGCGAGATGAAGGGACCGAGGGGACATTTTCGCGCCCGAGGCGAAGCCGAGGGTGCGAAAGTGTCCCTGAGGTCCCGAAATCTCGCCAAAGTCGTAATCTCCTTTGCGCCCATGTTGCGAACATAATTTTTTGTCCTAACTGCATGAAAAGTATGGCATCGAGGGCACGAGCGAAGCGGGCGTAAAAGTACTTTTGCGCCCGCTCGGGCAAGATGAAGCGGGCGCAAAAGTACTTTTGCGCCCGCTTGTGTGACGTCAGCGGGCGTAAAAGAACTTTTGCGACCGCTTCCCTGGCCCCGGGCGAGAATAAGTTACTTTGCGCCCACTTTAAGTGCCCGAAATGACATACTTTTCGTGCAGGTAGGACAAAAAAATTATTTTTACAACCTGTAAGTACAGTTGAGAACCTATAAACCCAATCATAATAAAAAATGCCAGCAGAGCATTCGCGGGAGATTGAAATGGCCATTGTCCAATCATGGAAAGTAAAATTTTGTTAAGCCAATAATGACGCATTTCAAATAATTCCACCATTTTGTATTTTCTATAATACGAAAGGGACTTTCTTTACAAATAAACTACTATTTCTCATCAAGAGGTTTAACTTTTAAATATATCAACGAGAATAATTCTCCTTCGACTCTATTCTTCGTTTAATTTGAAGTTTAATATTAATGTCTTTAATCGATGATGCAAAGCCTATATTATTAATAAGCACCTGTCAGCTCATCAGTTCTGCATTAATTTTGCAGTAAAAATAAGCATTGCGTGCGGTATTTATTTTAATATACCAGGAGAAGATTGAGAATTAATTAAAATAAGAAAATCGTAACGAAGAAAAATTATTTTTTCTGTTCTAAATCATAGGCAATTTTATTAATATAATTTGCTCGTTGAAATGTTATAATTATAAAATTTTAGTTCATCAAAAAAATTATGGCGGGGTAAAAATTTTGTGACGGTAAATAAAAATCTTTATAGGATGCTGAAATTTAATTATTAAATATTTTGCGATAACCTGGAACAATTTTCGTTAGTAAATATAATAAACGGGAATTTGTATTTATCTTGTCACTGAAAGCTATAACGTTATCATCAATAACTGTCACTGTAGGTAAATTCGAATACAGAACAAGATTGAAATTATTTTTACAAAATATTACAAAAACACAATTTTTTCATTGTACATTTAGCCCTGAAATAAAAAGTATTAGCTTATATTAAAATATTAAAAATTAAAATAAAATTTAGAAATATACAAATATATTTTATAAGAATTTTAAGACAAACATTAAAAATAATGGTTTCTATAGGTTCATCGAGGGATAAACAACAAAAACGATAGATCTTTGAACTTTAGAATATTATTTACATGTATCAACTTAATTTTGATATTTTTCGAACGTAAAATTTTCCGACGAAACTTCGATACTTTCCGATTTAAGTTTTGCTACCGAGCTTCCACTGTTGTTTATATAAACTAATTCACATCCTATTTAAAAATTTCGAAACAATTTAAAGTTTTAAAACAAGATAGTGAATTATAATAAAAAATTGTTGAAATATTTTAAACTACTTTTCGTGGATATTTTATACTTCGAATATAATGCTGAGATTCACGAGTTATTTAGCCCTCGGTTTCACCTCAAGGTTCCGTTCAGGTCCATTTAAATTTAAATGGAACATTTAATACGTAAGTGTACCAATTTTCAACTCGTTAGGTCGAAAATTTCCAAAGGTACAGTAGGGAGAAGAAAGGGGATCGCTTTTTGCAAAATTTTTCATTTCTTTCTTTTAAAAAATTTATCAAATTTATTTTAATCAAAATTCTAGTCGAGTGCGCCAAATTTTTCGCGAAAACAACGTTGCAATTCAAATTTCGAATAAATTTCTATACATTAGGTTTAAAATTTTTAAAATTAGGGTCAGGAAAAAAGCCTCTTTTTCGATTTCAGTTTTTTCAAAATTTATTTAAATCAATACTAATCAAAGTCGCCGCACGTTCTTTAGCGAAATCTACTCGCGAAAATAAAAATTTCTACCAAATTTCAACACTTTAGGTCAAAATTGTAGTAAAAATGAAAGAGGTGGGCAAAGGGAGGGTGAATTTTTTATTTAAATGTTTCCAAGTTTTTCTTTAATTATTTAAATCAAATCGCGTTCTCGAAATCTACTCGCGAGAATAAAAGTTTTAAGACTTTAGATCAAAGTTTGTAAAAATTAAAAAGGGAAAAGTAGTTTATACATTTTTGTACCAAATTTCAACCCTCTAGGTCAAAAAGGCTAATTTTGGGAGTAGGGGACAATCGCAATTAAGAACTGAAACCATAAGGTCCCTGTTTGCGATCGCATGGTGAACGGAACCCTAAGAAACAATAAAACTAAAAAATTAATCAATTAATTAATTAATTACGTGATTAATTGATTAACCATTAAGAACTTATAATTGGTACCTGGTCCTCTTCTTCTCCAGCCTAACTCATATCTAAGGGTGAATCAAAGACACGCACATATTGTACAATGTCTAAGATAGACCCTTAAATAATCAGCCAAAACTTATTCCAGCTTGCATCTGCCACGTAGCTAGCCCATAATTTTTGAAATTAATTCCATTAATTGAACCCAGCAAAGAAGAGTTCGGTTCAAGTGAATTCTAACTTATTTGTAAATATTACTTAATTTTTCTTTAAAAGAATAAAAACTTAAGATGTTGAAATCTTCCATTATCTTTAATCAAAAAATTAAAATATGATTATTGGACAAATTTTAAATTACATATTTTGATTTGAATTTCTTCTATCGATTAAAATGCAAGTGTCTATTTTTACCAAAGGAATAAAATTCCTGAAATTTCCATTTTTGTTTTGAATAAAAATATAAAGTCTTACTTGTTGATAGTAATCAAAATTAGAAATGAATGTTATAAAAAAATGAGAATGTAATTATAAAAAGTTATGTTTAGTAAAATCGATTAAAAATTAAAATTTACAATAATTTTTCAAAATTTAAAGATTAGGATTTAAATTTTCCTTAAGACTCAATTTGAAAGAGTTAAAAATTTAAAAAATTCATATTCATTTGAATCAAGCTCTTCTTGTCGAGAAATCAATGAGATAAAAATTCACAAATGATGTGCAGTTAAGTTA